AAAACGGTTTGTAAAACTATAACTCAACAAACTTTTCTTCGTGTTTTTGGTGAAAAATCAAATAAATATTCTTGAAACTATGCTTTGTCAGCGCCATTTTTTTTTTGCAACTCTCCGCAGTTTGTACTTTTTCAAACTCCCTGATTTGATCCTTACTATGCTAAACAGCCAACATTAAATCTTGCCTGTCTTCTTCATTGTGAACAGAGTTGACACAAGCCTAATTGCTCATTCAGAGCAGTTGTTGATGACATATATTTGGCAAACAAATTCAATGAAAGTTTTAAATTGGTCGATAAAGCCCCAAAAAAGTTAAAGGACAGTTCAGCCAAGGTTTATCATCATCTTTACTCAAATTTAACAGATTGAAAATAAACCACGAATTCCTACCAACCAACTGTGACAAACTAGGTGGTTTCTCCTGGGTGAAGTCTAGATCTTACATAAGGATTGGATTTTTGGACTTCTCATAGTGAGTAGCAACAGGTTGTGAGAAAAGAACTTTTGCAATTTTTTTGTTTCATCATTTTCGAGTTCTTTATCTGCCAGACATAATAAAGTCAAGGTTTTATCCAAATACCACGTATGTCTCTCCATCGATTTCAATACTTCTTCAATTCCCTCTAGTATATCATTAGCTCATGGATCATAAGATTCTACCCAACATTTATACTGGACCATCTGCCAGTACGCATTTAAATCTTGATAAGGTGCAGAGAAAACTAAAGAGGAGTGCACAAACCACACAATATAAAATATAGAAAAAAATTCTTCCATTTTACTGATTTCTTTTTATAAAAAAGCTGTTAATTGGTAGGGCAACTGATTACTTAAAACTTGAATTTTAAGATAATATATAAATATATAGACTTTGCCAAAAAAACGAGAATGGAAAACTCATCCGGGAGCATAAACATTGAAGCTTACATCTTGACATAAGTAGGTGAGTGTAAATTCTACTAGTTCTTTATAATCACCTTTTAGAAGTATTAAATTGGCAAGTGCATATTTGCAAAACAGAAAAATTTTTTCGATCTGTTTTTCCAGATTCGTTCCTTTAACTGCAGCTTTTAACAGCTGCAAACTTTTTGAACTTTTATTTATCCATAGTTTCCTTTGTTGCGTTCCAATTAGTTTAGAAAACATTGAACATCAGATTTTCAGGAGCATAAGTTTTACCAATAAGAACTTTTTACTAAAAATGTTTACAGTGAAGCTCGTAAACATGTCTTTGACATGCAAGCTGTAATAAAATTGAACCCTGTGTTTGAAAAAACCTAATGTTTGTGCTGGAATATTTTTCTGTATTAGTTGCATTTGTGTCAAAGCACAAACCCTTTACATAAGTTCTTTGGTTATATTCATCAAAAATGTTTATTAAAGTATCATGTGATATTCCAGTACCGTTTTCCATAGGCGGAATGCCAAGAAGTCTTAAATCACCATCGATATTTACAAGAACAGCAAAACAAGCTTTTTTTTGTTTTGTACCGTTAGTAATATCCTGCAAGATTTTTCTATCAAATAGTGCGATTATTGGAAAATTACTTTGACTTGCAGCTTTTATTATATCTTCTCAATATTTAGCTGCACTTGTATTTATTGCTTTCTTTTTTGCACGTCTGATAGTAGATTCAGAAAGCGAGAAATCTGTCAAACTGCCCCCAGAAGTAACTACTTTGCCAGAGAGCAAGTGCATCATATTTCTAGATAAAAAATATTATTAGAAACACATGAATTGCAACTTCTTTTGCGAATTTTTAGGTAATACTGTTGGAGCACTAGTACCTGATTTAATTTCGCCTGCTGAATAGTCAGAATCTTAACAAAAAAAGACCTCACTTTGTTCTGATGATAAAAACTTAATTTTCTCAGTTTGATCCTCTTGTTGCTCAATAAATGTTAATATATCACAATCTTCTTTCTTCTATTTTTTTCAGCTTTATGCTAAATCCTGTGCACCAAGTATCATTTTACGTTTTCTTCATTTGATCATTTAAAAATTGCTTATCTGAATTGTATGAATCTAGGTTATTTCCATGTTTCTTCTTCAAAATGGAGCAAATATCAGGTTTTCCAATCCAAAAAACTTTCTTAGCATTTTTTTTAAAGATGTTTCTAGCTAATTCTGCTGGATTGCCTTGCCCATTACGTTGCCCATTTTTTAACTAGATCATTTAATAGTTTCCTAGAACATATAATATTTATTTAACTTTTTTCTAATTGCTTTAAAACTTTTTAATGTAGATATGAGAGGCAGAGTGAAAAGAGTCATGTTAACAAATTAATATAAGCAAAAGTAAAATTCGGTAAAAATAAAAAAACTCTAACTATAGATTATTTAGCAAACCTGATGTGTTTGTCATAAAATAAGCCGCCGTCATATCCTCCATCATTCAACGGTTTCTTTATAGCAAAAATAATGTAGTTCTGAGCATGCTGACATCATTTTTTCTTGCCAAGCACAATCAATCAAAGTTTTGGTGGGAGTATTTTTGTCTAACAGATGCCTGAGTTATTAAGATTAAATTTAGATTTTATATATCTCGTTTTCAAACTAAAATTTAATTACTTGGTGAATATATTGAATGATAATTTTTAATCAGTTTAATGTTTTAATCATACCTATAATGAAAATGAAGAATCCATTGCAAAATTAGCATCTGCTAAGGTTGCATCTCTTTATCGAGCTCGACACTTTCTTACTCCAGATTCTATTCTTTATCTCTATAAATCTCAAATCCGTCCCTGTATGGAATACTGTTGCCACATCTGGGGCGGATCTTCTAATGATGCTCTTTCTCTTTTAGACAAGGTGCAAAAACGAATTGTAAACATAGTTGGACCTGCTCTGGCAGCCAATCTCCAACCTTTGTCACATCGTCGTAATGTTGCTTCTCTTTCTCTTTTCTACAAATACTATAATGGGCACTGCTCTAAAGAGCTAGCGTCCCTTGTGCCATCTACTAAAACTCATTCTCATGTTACTCGCCATTCAATTAAGTCTCATCCTTTTTCTGTGACTGTTCCTAAGTGCTTCAAAAACTCTTATTCTTCTAGTTTTTTTCCTCGAACATCAGTTCTTTGGAATTCGCTTCCTTCATCTTGCTTTCCTGATTCATATAATTTGCAATCTTTTAAGTCATCAGTCAATTGTTATCTTGCTCTACAGATTTAGTCTTTTCTCTTCCAGTAACTTCCAACTCTTATAGTGGTTGCTTGCAGCCTTGTTGGGAGTGAAGATGTTAAAAAAAAAAAAAAAAAAAAAAAAGAATAATTTTCTCATTTGTGGCAAACTTTGTTTCAGAAAGTTTTTCTAACACTTTTTTTCTTTAAATAAAAATTCTTTGAAAGTGATCTCGTAATTTTTAGTAGCGTCTTTACTTTTTTTTAAACCATTTTATTTTTGATTTATAAAGTAAAAGTTATAAATTGCAATTTATAATAATAAAAAAAATATTCTTAGCTTAAGTAGAAGCATGGCACGAATTGGTTTTTTATTCTTTTCTAATTTTTTTAGAATAAATAGTTCGAAAAAGAAAGATTGTTTTTGTTTGTGACACACGTGTGTTAAATTCGATCGCAAGCATCATTCTATTTAAATATACTTAAAAATTATACTAAGTTAAAAATTATACTAAGTGCGTTTTAAGCTATTTTTCTTGACCTAAATTAGTATATATTTTTTTATTGTAAACTTCCCAACCATTTCAAATTAATATTTAGGCCTTTTAGAGTTCATAGAAAAAAAATTGGTGTTTTATGTCAATGTTTAAGATTCCCGCTTTTTGGTTAAAAAAGTTGGGGTTTCGGGGCACTAATTGTAAAAGCAAGGACCTTAAAAATGGGTTTCAAAAATTTTTTTTTAGTGTAAAATAATTTTTATCCAACCAGTCAACTAATCCAGATGGTTGGGATTTAGTTTGAAAAAAATTGTTGAAAAATGATGCACCCTAATATAAATTCTTAGTTTGCTAAAAAATCGTAAACTCAGTTTTTATGGATCTTAAACACCAACTAAAACTAATTCCATTAAGAGTCTCATAACTAAGTTATGAGAGTCCTAATGAAATAAGTTATAGTTGATTTTTAAGATCCATAAAAACTGAGTTCACATTTTTTTTAGCAAACTAAAAATTTAAAGACCAGAATTTTTTTTGGAATTTTCGATTCGCGATCACTTAATTCCCCCTTTATATATATATATATATATATATATATATATATATATATATATATATATATATATATATATATATATATATATATATATATATATATATATATATATATATATATATATATATATATATATATATATATATATATATATATATGTATATATATATATATATATATATAATATATATATATATATATATATATATATATATATATATATATATATATATATATATATATATATATATATATAATTAATATTAAACTTTCAAATAAAATATGTATAATTAATATTAAAATTTCAAATAAAATATGTGATGTTGCTTTAAAACTCTACTGTAACTGCAAAATGCTTTACACATTGCATTTGTGGAAGAAGTTCATTAATCTCCATAAACAATATCAAGTTTATAACTCCCATTACTTCTATCTTGAATTGCCATACTAAATTATATTATTTTATGGGAAAGTCTATTGATAACTAAATATTTGGTACTATGACCATTGCTAGAGAAAAGCACAATGAAAAACTGAGCAAAATACAAAATATCAAAGTAGTTTAAAAGAAGCTCTAAAGTAGCTTCTGAAGCATACAAGAAAAAAAAAAAACTAAAATAATAAACCACTTTAATAATTTTGTAAATAAATTCATTGTGAAAATAAATATTTAAAATGTTAAATATTTATTTTCACAATGGAATATTTATATTTAATATTGAATATTTATATTTAATTTTAAAATACACAATAATCAAACATTTCATAAATATATTTAATATTGCATAAGATTGCAATTATTTTAGAAAAAAAAAAAAAACCTCCATTAAATCTGTCCAGTCTTCATCCAAGATAATGCACTCTGTTTCTGAGCTACAGTCGTTTCTAGCGAACTGCCATTTAATAATTGGCAAAGGATTCCCATTCCCAATGTCGCAATGAATCTCTTTATCATCATAGAAGCTTGCAACAAACATAGGTGAAGGTTTTTTAATTTCAATAGGAACTAATATATAAAAATCAGTAATCCAAAAAAAATATTATTTTAAAAGTTTAAAAAAGTAATATATACTAATAATAATAATTGACTTTATTAAATTTTATTTCATTTAAACTTATGTTAAAAAAGGAACTCATGAAATCAAAAAACTCTATGTAATTATTAATTCATTAGTAAAGTTTGGTAAAAGTAAATAAAATAAATTAAAAAAAAAAAAAGCAAATCCAAATGTTGAAAAAAAAAAATCTAAATAATTTTTAACTCAAGAAATTAAAAACCATTTTTAAACCCCAATTAGATTATAATATTCCTTATAAAACATTCACTTACCAAGAACTTGAACTGTAATAGACTTATTTGCTTTACCAACTTCATTTTCTGCAATACATGTGTATACCCCTTCATCGCGAGGATATGCAATATCCTGAAAATACAAGTAGCAAAATTTGTTTTCATCATCATTATCATCACAAGTTCGAAACACTTCATTGTTTTTTTTCCACAGCATTTTAGGTTTTGGTGATCCATTTACTTCACATTGAACTTGGTACCCATTTCGACCATTATCCACATCAATTAAAGTAGAACTTAATTGTGGAAAGGTAACAGTTGGAGCTGTACTAGCTTTTTTAAAAAATATTAAATTAACTTTTTTCATAACTATTATTTAATATTATTTAATTACTTTATATAAATCTAAAAAACACAAGGAAACTCATTTCTGATCTGAATAATTAAAACATAAAAATACAATTCTAGTTTTTAATTGTAAAAAAATAATTAAAAAATTATAAAAATAAGAATTTATTCAGTTGGGCTAAACTTCCCAAAAATTGTTTTGCAAAATGATCAAAGTGATTTGTTGTTTTAGCTAATTATGATTTTTTTTTTATATATAGTTTTAGCTAATTATGATTTATATATATATATATATATATATATATATATATATATATATATATATATATATATATATATATATATATATATATATATATATATATATATATATATATATATATATATATATATATATATATATATATATATATATATATATATATATATATATATATATATATATATATATATATTCCCTTCACTTCTAACAAGGCTGCAAATAGTAATTTTGTTTAAATTTTTATGATCGCTATATTTTACTTTTGACTTTAAAAGTAATGTTAGACTGAAATAATAACTATTAAATAGTTATTATTTCAGTCAGAAAAGAAATCTCATTTTTTATAACTGTATTTTTGCTTTTTCAATCTTTTTTTTTTTTAATACTGTAGAACTTAAGATTGTTCTCAAAACTATTAATATTCCAATAATCAAAAGTATTTAGTTTTTTTTTTTTAATTGCATGTTATTTTCATAAAAAAATTACATCTAAATGAATTATATGGTTAAAAAAATTACATCTAAATGAACTAATGGTAATAATTTGAAACAATGAACAATTGAAAACAATTTAAAATTGCTTTAATGATAATCATAGAAATTTTAATATGAAACTTATATGCGAATCAAAATGTTTAAGTGGATGAAGGTCTAAACATTGTGATTGGATCTTAAATATGAAATGCTGCAACTAAATTCTTTAAATATTGACTCATATCAACACTTTACTATTTCAATCTTTCTTTTTAAACTTTTTAAAAAAGCTATTCTACTTTTTATGTTATTTTCATCGATCAAACTCTTCTCCTTTATAGAAATCCTGATTGTTCTTTTGATTTTTTTCTTCTGTTGTAAAAAACATCAGTTTCCAGATAATAGAAATCATTAGCCCATACTCTTACATCAAATATTATTTGTTCTAATAACTTGTGTTTAATCCTGGAGTACTTAAAGTGTATGAATTTGTAGAGAAATTAAAAATGAAATGTTTACTTATCTAAGTTCAAAAGATTATAATATAAAAAGGACAAGAGTCTGCTGAGAGATGGGAAGCATCGCTTTGAGGACAATAATAAAGAAATTTATCCAATTATCAAGATCGTGCCAAGACAAATTCCCAGGATCCATAAGTGCCAAGACAAATACTGTTTTTATCTTAAATAAACTTTATAAAAAAAGTTAATTAAACCAAAACAAAATATTTATCAAGATATTGACCAATAACTTTTCAGTTTTTTTGTAACTTCCCCATTTTATTTCTGTTTGTTTTATGAATGGTGTATTCACTGAAGAGGGTTTTTTAAAAGATTTAATTTACATACGAGCTCGGGTTTTTCCTATTTTTAATTTGTAATTATAAGTTTTTGCTGCATTTCAGTTTAAAAAAACAATTATCATGACAAATACATATTAAAATAATATTTGAAAAAAATTATATTAATAATAGCAAGTTAGCAAGTTATCTTACGATGTTTTAAAAAAATTATAACTTTTTTTATACCTAACATATTGAAAAAGGAAAAACCTAAAAGCTAAAATAGAATTAAACTTAAACAATACTTATTTTTATTGACAACAAAGATATATGCTTTAATTGAAATTTCTTTTAAAAGAAAAAATCAAAAAACCAGAACTTTCCTTCACGATAAAAGTGGGACAAATAGTCTTCAAAATATACACCACAATCTACAGACTTGATAATTGATTCAAGCAAACTTTATTCCTAAGAGTTTTAGCATGTGCTAAAACTCATAGAAATAAAATGCATTTAAATAAATTATGTAGATTGTGGCGTATATTTTGAAGACTATTTGTCCCACAATAAAACAGAGAAGGCGAGTTTTGACTAAAACAAAGTTAGGTTTTTTTGTATGCATTTATTCTATTGTTTAACCAAAAAAATTTAGACTAAATGTTTTTTAATATGAACACAACATGTCTTGACTCTGGGTTTGGGGTCCCATTAACAATCTAACATTTTTTTCTTTTTTATTTCTCTTCAAGAATATAAAAGAATATCAAATTATTTTTTAGAAGAATATTATTAGTTATTTTTTAACAACTTTTATTATTATTATTTTTTTTTTGTTTATAATTGAATATCCAAAATATACAGAGCAATATGTTAGAGTACTGTTTACAGTACTCTAACATATTGCTCTGTATATTTTGGATAATTAATTATAAAATATTCGATTCTGCTGATATATGTGCTTCATAAATTATCCTCTAGATTTAGACAGAAATGGAAGCTTTGATTCCTTCTTGTTGGTTTGATGTCATTTCTAATTCTCCCCCATGAATATCAGACAAAGACTTGCTCTTGACATAACAAAGGCTTTTAACAAAGTTTAACATACTGGTCTTCTTCATTACCTTGCTTTATTTATTTTTTAACATTTTCACTTCCAATAAAGCACTTACAACTATAAGAGTTAAAAGTTACTGGAAGAAAAAAGTTGAAATTTATAAAGCAAGATAACAGATGACTTCAAGATTGCAAGATATTTTAATCAGGAAAATGAGATAAAGAAAGCAAATTCCAAAGAACTAAAGTTCGATAAAAAAAAAACTAGAGGAAAAAGAATTTCTGGAACAATTATAAACATTCATAGTAAAAAAATGAGACTTAATTGAATGACAAATAAGACAAGAATTTTATTAGATGGCACAAGAGATGCTAGCTGCTCTTTTGAGCAGCACCCATTATAGTATTTATAAAAAAGAGAAAAGAGAAACAACATTAGAATGATGTGACAATTGTTAAAGATTGGCTGCAAAGGAGGTCAACAATGTTTACAATGCATTTTTGCAACTTGTCTGTGAGAGAAGGGGCATAATTTAAAGATCCATTTCAGATAGGACAACAGTATTCCGTACAAAAACAGATTAGAGATTTTTAGAGATAAAGAATAGAATCTGGAGTAAGAAAAGGGCGAGCACAATAAAGAGATGCAACCTTAACAAACGGTAATTTTGCAATGGATTTGATATATGGTTTTCAGGAGAGATCTGAAGTAAGAGTTAATCCTAGAAGACAAAGGGAAGATGATTTATTGAGCACATCACTGTTCATAAATATAGGAAAATATATTAATATAATAACGATTAGCTGTAAAAAATTGAGTTTTATCTGAGTTAAAATTCACCAGCCACTGAGAGCCCAATGCTGTAGCAGAAATGAGATCTTTTTCAAGCTCAAATACCCCCTCCAAGTAATCAGAGAGTGTTTGATTCTTATGAAGACAAGAATAAATGGCAGCATCATCAGTGAACAATGCCGACTTAGATGTGAGAAATTCTGGGAGATAATGTAAATTTAAAAAAATATAGAGACAAAGTAGAGAACATTGAGGAACCACTGAAGATACAGGACATGAAGAAGAGTGCTGTCCATCAAGAGTGCTGTAAAGAGTCTAAGCATGAAATCACTTTAGATACTGAAGCTGGAGTGATACAAATGTCAAGAAATGGATCAACCTGTTTGTCAGCTATATCAGGTAGGGTGTGGTTATTGGAATCAAGAGATAAGATTGATGAAAAGTTCTTAGCAAAAAATTTAGCTTTGCATTTAGACAAGGTTACAAGATCTAAATCATGCAAGAGGGTAGAAATAACAGACTTGCACTTATTTAGGACACGGTTAAAGATTCTTCAAAAGTCTCTAGAGCCTAATTTTTGAGAGGAAATACAAGGCTTTGTGACCTAAGAATATCAAGCTACAGCATTAGACAAATCCTTTTTACAATAGTTTTTTATTGATAGTAAACAGACATCACTTTCTGGAGAATTGTTTTGGCAATAGATATGTAAGTATTGATTACAATTAGAAATTGCAGCAGCGCAATTAGATGAAAACTATGGAAAAGCGTGAGGCTTGACTTGGAATTGAGAGAGGGAATAAGAGATTCCATGCCAGTCTGAATCCAAGAAGTTACATAAGAAACACATTTGTCAACAAGAAGATGAAAAATTCCTAAGAGCCATTGTGAAGAAAAGTTGTAAGAGGTGCGATGATAGGGTGATTCTGGTAATAAAAAAAAATAAGATAATATTTTTAGAGCGATCAAACTGTGATCAGAAGCACCTAAGGTTAAATGCGGAGAACCTGAGCACTGACTAGGATCAGAAATAAGATATACGTCGAGTAGAGAAGTTAAATGATTTGGATTGTCTGGAAAACAAGTTGGAAAATTGACTATTTGTGTGAATTGAAAAAGGCAAAAGTTGTGAGCTCTAACACCTAAAGTCACTGAAACTTAAACCAAGCCATTCAGTGTGATGAGCATTAAAGTCACCAAAAAAAATGATAATGGCTGAGGATAAAGAGATAGGGCTAGGTCAATTCAATCAGAAATAAAATCGAAAAAGAGTACAATCTTGAGATGAAGTCTGTGGATTCAAACCAAGTTTCTCGAAAAATGGGCGAATTCTTACAAATGGAAACGCTTATGTCAAGCATGTGACTAATGGAGTCTTTACAAATTAAAGGAAGATAACCATCAACACTAAGATGAGACAGCTCAACTCAAATTATCAAAGAGCAAGTAGATCTGGTGAACTTTGCAAGAGATAAGACTCAAAAGAAGAAAAGTTATTTTTCTTCTTTTTAGTCTTATCTCAGAGCACGAATATTAGTGAATGATAGATTTAGAGTAGTTGTTGATGTTGACGGTTTTTTGTGTTTTATAGTTTTTGGTACTTTAGTCAATTTTTTAATTTGTTAAAGAACTCGACTGTAGGCACAGATAATACTCAGTACACAATCTAGTAGTCCAAGTAATTGCCATATTACTATTAATAAACCCTAAGCCATACCTAAGGGTTTAGGGTTTATTTGGAAAAATTGATTTCCTTCAGAACCATAAAACTGAATTTTAGAGCTGTACCCTCATTAGGAGATAATAGAAATAGTTGTCTTGTCATAAAAAAACAAGCAAAACCCATGCATTAAGAGTAAAGAAGATCCAGCATTCAACATAAAAACAGCTAAACTGGAAACAATGTACTATAAATACATCTATGCCAGCCTAATAGATAAAGAGGGGTGCAAAGCTTGTCAACAGATAGAATCTGTTTACTTCTTTGCATAAGAGGCCTTCTACAAAAAAGTAGCTAGATACATTTAATGACTGCCCAAGATAAGTATTTTTATCGAGACATTATCTTTATCCTTTACGCAACAAAGTGTGTGTTAAGTTAGAGTTAGCATCTCCTAGCTTTTGCTTAAAAAAGCATATCCTACAAGTCAGCAGAGCATAAAACAGGTTGTACTGGGTTACATGTTAGCAGTAGCAGGATAACCTAACCCAACATGAAAGCTCACACCATATTTAATTTGTTACGAATTTATTAAGAATTAATTTATTTGTTAATGAAAGGATAGCTACCATACTTTGAATGTGAAATTTCAAAGTTGATATTTAGACATTCTTCCTAATGAACTTGCTGAAGAGGAAAGACTGTAGAAGATATTTAGATAAGTGTTTTTAATTATTTAATATTGCTCTGTTCTTTAAAAACATTGAACACTCTATTTACAGAATACTTTATTTAAAGAATACACAAACTTAACTTATTTATATCTTTTTTACTTATTTTAAGAATACACAAACTTAACTTATTTATATCTTTTTACTTATTTATATCTTTTTATACATTAATTTATCTTATTTATATTTATGATTATTCCAAATTAAAGCCCACTTTTAATTTTAAGAATGCAAAAATGTTATTACATATGAATTGACCTTACATATGAATTGAGTATTATATATATGTATATATATATATATATATATATATATATATATATATATATATATATATATATATATATATATATATATATATATATATATATATATATATATATATATATATATATATATATATATATATATATATATATATATATATATATATATATATATATATATGTATATATATACATATATATATATAACTTTTTTTTTATTTTGTTCATTCAGAACTCAATAATATTTATAACAATTTTAGTCCATGAAGAATAAAATGTTTATAATATATTGATGAAGAGGTCAGCATGGAGAAGCACCAGGCACCTCCATGCTGACAAATATTGGACATATAATGTGTCTATACTTATATTGTTAGTGAATGAAATCAACTTTAGAATGCATCAGATGAAAAGGAGTTAATAACGCTTGATGGTAAAGTATTCCATGCCTTGACTACACGGTTTATGAAGAACTTTTCTCATTGTTATTCTTGACTAACGGCTTAGTAAGTCTTAAGCTATTGCCGCGAAAGTTATACTGGGAAAGCGTTTGCGTTCAGACTTGAGGCATAACAAATTTGATTTTCTCAACATAATGCACAATCTTATATTGCTGGATTAAATAACTTTATCTCGTCTATCTTCTAGTTTGGTTAGGCCTAGAATTGCAAGTCTTTTTTCATATGATTTATGTTTGATGTCTGTGATCAGCTTTGTCACACACTTTTGAATGCGTTCGAGAGCCTTGATGTCTCCTTCAGATGTGGCGACCACAATTGGATGACAAATTCAAGATGTGGTCCAACATACGATTTGTAAAGGACTTTCCAAAGTATGAGACCTTTGCTTCTGAAGGATTTCTAAAGCTGACCAAGTACCTGGTTTGCTCTTGCAGCCGCCGCTTCAACTTGATACTTGACTTTTAAGTCTTCTTAAACAAGAACACCTAGATCTTGCTCAACAGAAGTCATACCCAGTTCTTGTCTGAATCCTATCTGATCAGTCATTGGGCAGACGCAGACTGATTTGTTGAAGTGACCTACGTGCATGCATTTGTATTTGTCCAAGTTGAATAGTAATAGCCACTTTTTAGACCATACTACTGTATTATCAATGTCTAGCTGGACACGTGCTTTGTTCTCCTGTTTTGATTTCGCCTATTATTTTGCTGTCATCGGCATATATCTTGATTTGGTGAGCTATGTTGTTCAGTAGATCATTAATATAAAAGATGAAAAGCAATGGTCCTAGCACCAATCCCTGAGGCACTCCACTAGTTACCCCTTTCCACTCAGATTCAGTTTTGCAAACAATGACCCTCTGCTTTCAGTTAGTCAGCCAGTTTGATATCCACCTGAACAGTGAGCAGCTCTCTCTCTCTCTCTCTCTCTCTCTCTCTATATATATATATATATATATATATATATATATATATATATATATATATATATATATATATATATATATGTATATATATACTTCATTGTTTATTTTATTGTCATACAGAATAAGGATGCAAAGCACAACAAATTTTTTATATCTCTAGGACTCTAGACTCAAAAATGATGGAATAAAATAGCAGCTAAAAATGATGTAAGAATGGAAAAATTTATTTTTTGTATTAAATACATTAAATACAAATTTGTATTTATAAAGATCTCTAATATAACTTTTAATTAAAAAAGGTTATTTTTTCTATTTAAAGGTATTATGCATTTAGCATTGAATTGATTAAAATTTAAAAATTAAAAAAATACTCACGCTTTAGAACAACATTAACAAAACTAGATGTTGGAGCTTTCTGTGGTTCTTTTCGGGTGCAAACATATTTTCCAAAATCACTAAACTGAAAATTTGTAAACATCAAAATTTCAACATCAATGTAAATATTAGTTATTTCTTCAAGTCTAACAATTTTTGATTTGTCCACAGGTGATTGAATACCATTAATATCTTCTTTATACCAATTTAAATATGAATCGTCTACTCCTCTAGCACCAGCAGATTTGCAAGTGATATTTTTGTTACTTCTAAACTCTATTTCTATTGTGTTACTTATTGGCTTCGGAAATATTTCAGGTTCAGGTGGTGGAGTTTCTAAAAGAAACCTCTATTCATGTACTCACTTATTTCTACCAAGGCTTAAATATAAATATAAGTATAAACATATATATATATATATATATATATATATATATACATATATATATATGTATATATATATATATATATATATATATATATATATATATATATATATATATATATATATATATATATACATATATATATATATATATATATATATATATAATATATATATATATATATATATATATATATATATATATATATATATATATATATATATATATATATATATATATATATATATATAATGGAAAACTAATCTCCGCTATCAAATAATGAAAGAAGAAATTTATTTTTATGTCTACATTTCGAAACTACTTCGCCTTTTTTATTTACCAGATTATCTCCTTTGTAAAATAATATTTCAAATTTCTCATTTAAACAAAGCTTACAAATTTTTGACGCAGGATTATATATATATATATATATATATATATATACTAAAAAAATAGAAAGAACTATAAAAGGCACCAATGTTGCATTGATTAATAAAATTAATTAATAAAACTGAAATTCTTAGAGAACAAAAAAAACTAAAAATTGGTATTGCAAACAAAAAACTATGGATGGAAAATGCTTATCAAAAAATGTTATTTACAAATGCACTGTTTAATAAAATAACCCTTATAAACAATAAATTAGCTTAACCACAAGCGAACGGAAAAGTCATTATGCCAACCACAAACAATCTTTTAAACATAAAAAATACTCAAGAGACAATACTGTCAAAATATATTTAGAAATTTAGAAAAAAAAATAGTTTTAAATCATATTTGTCTATTCTAAAAACTACAATTACAAGCAATAGTATTTCTAAAAAATGTATGCTATATTTACAAGAAAAACTTGAAATTACTACTCATATGGATCAAGCAAAATTTACAAAATAAAAACTAATTTTTAAATGCAGACATGAAAATATGTACCTAAAAAATTATAAAAACAAATGACAAAACAAAAATTATCTTAATTCTAAATAATTCTTTTTCACAACTTTTTGAAAAATAATATAACTAATGTAACTTCCTGGTTCCAACATAAATGCAATGTTTATAAATTTAATTATAAGAATTCCCAACTTCCTGAGAAATATTTTTATATAATTTGAACTTTTTGATATTTAGACTTTCTTCCTGATAAATCTGCTAAATGCAAAACAGACTATAGTTAGTTACTACAACTCATCATTTACCGTAAACGCCACACTAAAGTGCCGGACATATGAGTTGGGTATAGACGCCTATACTCAGATGATGATGTGTTTAACAAGGCTGTGATTTAGTGTAAATTAATAAATTAAAAAAACTTTATATATATATTATATATATATATATATATATATATATATATATATATATATATATATATATATATATATATATATATATATATATATATATATATATATATATACATACAGGGCTCGAATTAAGCGTATTGCAATTGCGATTGCTTTTTACACCTTCGCGATTAGTAAATCAGCAACTTTTTTGCTTTCACGTTTTTCGCTTTAATGACCTTGAAACTATTGAAGTTATATTTAGTTAACTTTACTGAATGGATAGAGTATACGAAACAGTAAATGAACTTATAACCTAAATCAAAACAACCAGTTAAGCCAAGATAGTAACTTACAGTTACTCAAGTATTAATTTAACAATTATACTAATTTATTTAATATACTCCCAAAAGTTAGCCATAGACATGTTTCAATTTAGATCTTACATGTTGTTAACACATAGTATAAGCTTTTAACTAATAATTATTTTAACAAAAATTGTTGAATAGAATATGAAAAACGTGACACCATTTTTTTATATTTTAATTTTATTTATAGTGACATCTAGACTAAACATTTTCTATAAATACGCAAGTTGTTTTCAGGAACTTTATTTAAAAAGAAATCAATTTAACAAGAGAACTTTAGCCTTAAAATTCACTTATTCAAATAATTTTGTGATTGAAATTTGAAATTTAAAAAAAATTTAAATATTTAAAAAAAGTTTCATGAAACAAGGGAGAAAAAAAGAAAGTTTTTTTTTCTTAAATCGTAAATTTTTTTAACGTTTTGAATTATATAATTTTTCTTGAAAATAGTTTTAAAAGTAGAAACATTCTATTGCAAACATCAAAGCAGTGATTGCAAATTGCAAGTTAAAATAAAAATTATAAAAAATTTAAATGAAATTTAACAAATTATTTTACTTCTGTTTAACAAAATTTTTTAAAAAAAAACTTATTTTTAAAACAACTTTGCAGTTTGTTTTAATGTTGTTTTATAGCTTTTAACAATTGAATACTTTTTAAAATTAACACCTGTTTTAACACCAACACGAACGTATTAAATAGTTTTCTTTGACTAATCAAAGTGGTTTAGATATTGCTATGTTGCTTTTTCTTTTACTTTTTTACTTTTACTTTTTTAAGTATTATTTTAAGTAAAATATATACAGCTGCAACTCAAACTTTAAGTTATAACTTAAGTTGTAAATAATAACAGTAACTTACGCTATTTTAAACTCTGCCGAACAAGAAAATTATAAGATTATATTTAAATATAGAGATAATATATTAATAGTAGAACAATTACGTACAAAAGTTACAATTATATACTAACACAACTTCCCTCCCCTCCCCCCCATTACCACAAAGAAGCGCAAGGTATAAAGGGGGGGGGGGGGTTAAAAAATTTTTTCTTTTCTTTTTGCGATTAGATTTTTTTGCGTTAATTCGAGCCCTGATATATATATATATATATATATATATATATATATATATATATATATATATATATATATATATATATATATATATATATATATATATATATACAACAATAAATGCATGTTTAAATTGGCATGGTTAAGTTTTTTTGTTTTTTTTTTTTCAAACATCTTCACTTCCAACAAGGCTGCAAGCAACCACTATTAGAGTTAAAAGTTACTGGAAGAGAAAAGATGAAGTTTGTAGAGCAAGATAACGATTGACAGACGACTTAAAAGATTGCAAATTATATGAATGAGGAAAGCAAGATGAAGGAAGCGAATTCTAAAGAATTGATGTTTGAGAAAAAAATCTACACAAATAATAGTTTTTGGAGCACTTCCTTATAATTACTTGCTCTCGCTTGGAACTATTTCAGTGCAATTTTTAAACTTTTCAAACTAAAAAAAGAATTTTTACAAAGAAATAGAGCAACAATAGAATCTTTTATATATGAAAATAGGAAGAAGCATGAACATCAATTTTATTCAATATTATATCAGTGTTGAATATTAGGCTAAAAACAGAAAATGTTTTAGCATATCATAATAACAATTTACACATTTGACTCACCATTAGAAGTCATCTATCTAAATATACAGTTAATTAGCAGGACTGTAACTTTGTGATTCATTTTTCAGACACCTCTAATCACTTACTTTTTCTCCTTGATTTGGGTCTTTTCTCTGACTCTAGTATGTGTTCATTTTCTCCTTAGGCTTCTTTAGATGCCTCAATGATCATTCAATGATCTCAAATCTTTTATCTTATACTTATTCTTTTAACTAACCCTATCATTGCACTAATTACTACTACCCTAAAGCTGACTGGGATTCTTTTCTTGACTTCTTTGTGATGGGTCTTAGGGCTAAAGTCTTTTTTCTCTCTGTTACTTGCGACTGGTACATAGCCTTCTGTATCCAGGCATGTATGAAGGCTTTTATTCCTTTTCCTCAGTTTCAGTTTAAACATCATTCTTGTTCAGCTGCTATATCTAATTGTAATCATTTTTTTGATCTTTTTCCAAGGAACAACTCTCTCAAGAAACAAACCTTTTTATTTGCAAGAAACTTATGTAAAAAGGTACTGTCTAATACTAAGCTTCATTCTCATTTATAAATACTTTTATCTTATCTCAGAAGTTAGGCACTAGAAAGTTAGCAAATTATGTTTTCAAGAACTCTCTTCAATTTTCTCTAAACTATTTAACTTATACTTGACTGAATCTTGTTTTCGTGCCTGCTAGAAAATGGCATCTGTAGTTCCAACTTTTAGAAACTCTATTATTAGCAAGGTCTCTGAGTCTTTAATCAACAAATTTCTGATGTCGAGTCTAATAAATTACTCTTTGAAAATCAATATGGTTTTTATGCTTCTTGTTTTTCAATTGACTTGCTAACTGCTCTAACGAAAAGATTTTATTATATTAATGAATTAGATGTAGACAGTAAGGGCTATTGCTCTTGACATAACTAAAGCTTTCAACACAGTTTGGCATGCTGGTCTACTCCATAAGCTTATTCAAATTGTGTATATGAGGAAATTTTTGAGATTATTAAATTATTTCTCTTCTTCATTTTTAGTAACTTCTGGGGTACCTCAAGGTTCTATCCTTGGTCCTGTATTGTTTCTAATCTACATTAATGATCTTCTTGAAAATCTTACATCTAAAATGGCTCTATTTTCTGAATCTCTTTTTTGTTTACAGATCTCTTTTTTGTTTACAGATCTCTTTTTTGTTTACAGATCTCTTTTTTGTAACAGCTTGGAGCTTGCAGTGGCTTTTGAGTTTTAACTTTTACAAAATTTGGTTATTTACTGCAAACAACAGTAATAAATGGTAACCCTCTCACTGAGTCCACTTTTTTACATCTTCTTGGATTATCATTTATTACTGACCTCTCATGAAAACCATTGAAAAGTTAATATTTGCTAAGGTTGCTTCTGGTTTTTCTAATAATGCTCTTTCAAGGTTCAAAAATGCATTCTAAACTTAATTGAACCTACTTTTTCTGCAAAGCTTGAGCCTCATTTCCATTGTTATAAGGTTGTATCTCTTTCTCTTATCTACAAATACTATCATGGTCCCTGCTCAAAGAATGTATTATCTCTAGTTTCATCAACCGAAACTCATTCTCGCTTAACTCGCCATTCAGTTGAGTTGCACCTTTTATCTATCCTTT